CGGAGAAAAACGACGATAACATCGATAACGTCCGTGCCGATTAAATTATATTTATGTTATTACTTTATTAGATTAGCTTACAAGTTTATTACGACTTGTGGCATTTCGGTATCTTCGGAATTAAATAGAAATAGAAAAAAGAGTACATTGTTGCCAATATAAAAAAAGTGAGAGTACAAAAATTTTAAGAGCTCATAAGAGTACATGTACTCTTAAAAGAGTACTAATGGTAACCCTAACCTGGGCTTACGTCATTGACTACATGTTTGTGTAATGAGCGTAAATATTCTCCTGATGTGTTATACGAGATTAATCCAGATTTAATTCTAGTTGCATATGAATTCCGTAAAGAAAAATTTATTCGTTTACCAGCTAAATGTTTGTTAAAAACGCTGTTAAATTGTTCACAAACATTATTATCAACGTTCATTAACAAACTATCTGCATGAGTTGCCAATCGTCCAATGATTTGAGTAATCTCTCTCATAAGACCACATTTTTCTGTGTCTTCATATAGGTTTACTTCATTTATTTTATGTCCTTGGCAAAAATATTTCTCACACTGCTCATGATTACCCATAATATGACGAAAACTATTTATAATATCTTTGCGTAAACCTATATTTTATGAACAAAGAAAAATTTTAGTTTGACTTAAACCCAAAAAATTATTTAATTGTTTTACATATTATATTGATATTTAAATATTTAATTGTTTAAAATGTATCGTTATTAATTTAAGTTGGTGATGGTAACCTACCTACAACTTTTTGATACTTGGTTTGTTGTTTTAAATTATTACGATGATCAATAGCTTTTGTTATAGCAGACCTAAACCTTTTCGCGTTGTTCAAAATATGTTTTCTCAAATGTATAGGATATTTTGTATTTTTACCAATCATTGCTAATTTCGTTCCGTAGTTCCTCAATAAATGATTCCGGCATTCTATTTTTTCAATAGTAAAATTTGGACCATAGGGTCTTGTTTCTGCCAATCTTTTACTTACACTAGAATCACCATCACCTTTTATGAATAAAAATAGATTAATAAATAATCAATTAGAAAGTTACTACCTATCATTAATTAATGTCATAAAAACTTATAAATACTAATTAATTTATTAAATTTTAGCCCTTGTAATTCAATGCTTTTTTTAAAGCCTTCTGCAACAGCATCTGCCTCCATCGTTGTAGCGGCTTTACGCCAATTCATGAAACATGCGTGTTCTTTTACAGAAATGTTTGCATTTTTTGCTCTTTGACAAATTAAACAATATCGATTTCGAATCCCAATAAATAAAATTTTTTTAGTTTTAAAACCGATAATTGTAGCCTAAAAAATATGATTATATAGTTACTTTTAATGCAAATAAATCATTAGAGAAATTATAAAATTATAACTTACCACTCCGGATAAAGCATCATATTTCGTTTTATAGCTGCGCTTAGACCATTGTCCATCAGCAACAACAGCACACATAGGGATTCCATCAATATCAATCTTTCCCGATTCAATGGCCAATTTCCTTTCTTCTTCACCTGCGATTCTCATTTCTTCCTCGGCGACGTGATGTATAGATTCACTTATTTGATTTTGACCCGATTGGAATGTTTTATCACTCATGCAAGGAATATCAATTGACGCCAACATTTCTTCTAACTGAGAGTAACCTATTCCAACTGCAATCGATCCACTAATTGCAGCTAAATTAACTGGTATATACGTATCTGGAGTTTTCTCCTCGGACATTATTATTGAACTTATGTTGCACATACTGCATATAAATTTAAATGTCGATCTCAACCCATAATGTTTTTCAGATACAAACACCATATTCATAAATGAACATCCAAAACCTCCTTCATGAACACATGTTTTAATCTGTTCAAATATATAGTAAATATCTACAATTCGACGACCTGAAGGATATTTCCCCACTGTAGGCCTAATAACATAAAAATAAGTTAATACATATTATATTTTTTATTTTAAGTTGGAAAATAATAACCTGCAGTAATTTACAACTGCAGGGCTCTCACTGTAAAAGTCTACATAAAAAACTATTATAAGTAATTTATTAACTTTTTTTATACTCTTATAGCATGTTTTAAATTTAAATACTAAATACACTATATTAACTGGGATAGTATGGGATAGAAACCAACCTCAACGATTCATTCACGTCATGATCTGATGATTTAGAAGTTTTACCGTGAATTAAACGAGGCAATGACGTATTTATAGGAGTAAACATAATATCTTCGTCACCATCGACATCAAAACTAAAAAAATATAATTTATGTCACTCGGTAGCAAACTAAACATATCAGGGGTATATAAATATTCAGGTTCTAAGTGAAACGAAAAAGTACCTATATGGTTTTACAAAGATTTGTATTAATTCACTATATTTTATATAAAAGGTCAAAAACTTTCATCTAGCAACATTTTAGATCTGGAAACTCATCTTGGTGTCAATTTAAAGAGTTAATTTTTCAAAATTCTCAATAATAATCATAAAAAAAATTGACTAAACATCTTTGTAAAGCCATAAGTTTTTTTGTTTCACTGTGTTAAAAATTACGAAAATGCCTCACGTAAAAATTTAAAAAGAAAATGAAAAATATTAGTTATCTAAATTGTTCTATTTTTTATCCGATAATTTTTTTATACTAGTAACGTCCTACCTTGAAGATTCGTTTGTGTTTATCACGTCATCATGTTCTGTTGATTCGACATCCATATCGTCAGGTGTTAAATGAGATGACGTCGTATTTATGGGAGTCAAAATATCTCTTTCAACATTGACGTAACTAGAAAATTATTTATTGAACATTTTATTATTACAATAATACAATACAATAATGTAAATTTTCAATTCTTACCTAGGCAGTTCTATAAATGACGCATCATCATTTTGTGACAGTTGTATTTGATCATTCAGTATTTTGTTTCTGAAATAATATTTATTTTTACGTCAAATTTCTTTTTTTTAAATATAAAATAAATATTAATGTAATAAGAAGAATAGATAATTTAAAAACATAAAGGTATATTAAAATGTTATACATTGAAGTCAAATTATTTAACTAAATGTATGTTATATTTTAAAATCTAATTAAAATCTAGGTATTTGCCTACAATTTATCAAGTATACAATTTGCAAATACTTACTTTTTTTTATCTCTGGCTTCTTTTAATTGGGCAGCAAGTCGTTTTTTGTTCGATTTTAATTTAGGAAAGTAAGGCAGGTTCTTTTTAGAACGATCCATTTTGTATCAAAATTCAAAATAAATTACAAAAATTCACAATTAACTTACTCGTCTTAAAAGAAATACAAGTGTTAAGGAATAAAAATAATTAAATTTATAAGCGAAAATATTCAAGTGGAGATTAAAACATACGATACACTTGACGTTGACAGGACTATGTCTTTCTGTCAGAGACAAATTCATACAGTACAATATAAATTATTTACGTATCTATGAGAATACTGAGAATATTGATATTCTACAACGAAAAATCACGGTTAAATATACAAAAATAGTAAGAGAGACAGAGAAATATTTAAACGTCTCAATAATTATTACATTTTGTCAATTATGGGTATTTAGCTGTGGTAATATTCTGCATTTCCGCGTAATAAAATGATAATACTCGTACTGACTACCACGGCTATAAATATCCACGCGCCACGGCGCATTTGGTTGATTACTAGAGTGGGAGAAAGATTGCCGCGCCGCCTTGATCACTGTAGGTAGCAGCACATTACAAGTGAAAAAAGTTCATTTTTCACCGAGAAACATCTCTTCGCACTTCCAATAGTATAGCTTTCATAATTATCGCAGAATATAACGAATGATATCAAATTAAAGTTGATATTATTTACTACATGTTACCAGAGAAATAATAAAAAAAAAATTATTTCACTGTCTATTATACACGTTTGAAAAATTAAAAAATTAAAAATTCATAATACAAATAAAAGTATAAGAGTAGTGTTTTTTCTAAAAAATGACTCTGGTAACACGTAGTAGACATTTTCTTAATTAATTTGGTACCATTTGTTTTTTTATGCGATATTTATAAAAGCCATACTATTGGAAGTGCGTAGAGGTGGTTTTAATGTCAAAAATGTTACTACGACGGCCTCTTAAGTTATTATTGTACCTACATTAAGCATATTTTTATCTAAGGCAGGTATTTAAGGTACAACCACAAGAGATCAGAAAATCAGAACTTAAGTAATAAAGTAAAATAGAGTTCTAAGGATGAAATACAATTTATAGCTTACATTCCCAATAGAATAGTAAAAAATAAATAATATACCTATTAAAAGAATTTTAACACTATACCTTACTTACATGAATTAAGTAATGAACGTTAAATGTAATTGTTGTAGATAGCATGAGTTTAACATGGTTTTTGTGATGATTTTAATTCATTGTTAATACTTTGCACCTAGAAATAATTTACAACGTTATATAAAATAAAATCTACAGAATACACAAATGATAACCAATAGGCAATAACTATGAACGACTTACAAAAACTACATCTTAGGAGAACTGTTTAGATTTGTAATTTATATACTTAAACACTGTAGTGAACTTATTATTCAATTAAACAAAAACTAAAAATTGAATAATGCAAAATATTTAAAAAAATATCAATAATTAATAATTTTTTCTTTATCATGAAATTAAAAACAATAAAAAAAAAATTTAATAACCACAATAATTATTGGTTGACTTTTGTAATGGTAACCTTCTAAAACTATAACTCTGGTTATACTAATTTATAATCTATAATAATTGATAAAGCAAATTTTGTATTGTTTTTTGGTTTTTTTTATGCTTTTTGAAAGCTATCTATTTAACAACTGGAAAATTTGTTATACTGGCCACTTAATTTGAATCCTCATAAAATTCTCTATCGATAAAGTTTTGGTTTAAGAATTTTTCGTTCTCCTATGTGTGATTAATCTCGTCCACAAATGGATGACCACAATAATTCTGAATAGAAAACATAATATTTACCCTTGTTATTTTGTAATTACTATACCTATTGTTCAGCATTAAAGGTTTTGAGACTTGTCATAAATTAAGTTATTATGTATGTATAAAATAATAAACATATAATTGCATAAAAATATAAAATAGTCAAGTACAGAGGTTAAAATTTCAGTCACAATACCATTTGCAGCTTAATTCTGTTAAAATACTAAGTCCTTCATCCACAGCGAACATTCATAATTACCTATCATTTAAAAATTTTAAAGTAAATCTAAGTTGTCGGATAACAAAAAAACATTTTCCTTTATTCAAAATAAATCACCTTAATTACAAATACTGTATTTTAATATAATATAAATACACATATACAAATAGGTAGATAATCTAAACAATAAAGTATTTTTCGGACAGGTCAACTTAGGGGATCATTTCACCAAACGTTTCGGTTTAGACTCTTCTAAGAAGCATTCTCAAAGTTGGGGGTCTTTGAAAACCCACCTAGGAGTATTTTATAATTTTTAATTACCTTCCCCCCCTTTTGAAACCGGGAACGGGTGGGAACTGGTTAGCACAATATTGCCACCCGAACCCGTATTATTTATTCACCATAACAAAATGTTTAATTACCTACCTACAATAATTAATAATTTTCGAAATGTTGATGAATTTTACAAGTTTAAAACTTTAAATGCTTGTAAAAAAAAATTGTGCTAAGAAAATATCGAGTATCCAATGTTGTAAAAATTTAAACTTCAAACACTTTAAGTACTTTAAATACTTAAAAATTTAAGTTTACTTTCCAATAGAAATTTTTGTTTTATGATAAACGTAGACAAACTTATAAGAAATTTTGTATTACATTTTCTAATCTTAAATTTACAAAGAAAAAAAAATGATGAATTTCCAACTCAAACTAACTTGTACATTTTCATGTATACGTTTTTCCTTAATTTTTGTTTTGTTGTTCCTTACACTTTTGAAAACTATTGAGAAATTTAAACATTGACCTCCCGAATGCACCAACTTTAGATATAACCTAAATTATTTAACAAGATTTGTTTTTATCTAGATTCTAATACTGGTAATACTCATACCTCTATATCGCCTACTGAATTGAATGTTTTAACACCGAAGTATAATTACGGAAGAAACAGCAACACTAGTAATAACATTTCTGTTGACAACTTCTCTATTATATAACAACAGTCCTACGCTATCTATTACTCCAAATACCAAATCATGGGTATCTGAACTTATTCAACTTCCAAGTCCTCAAAAATCATCAAATTTAGATAATAGAAAATACACTTCAGAAAAATTAATTACTAAAAATAAATTGCTGAAAGAACAGTTATATCGTTATAGAAAGTTATTAAAACAAAAAAGATCAACAATCTATTCATTAAAAAAAAAATTAAACAAAAAAAAAATAGATCTCAACCAATTTTTTAAAGAAACCAAGTTTCCATCGGTAAATTCCAAGGCTTTAATAGCTATGCAAATAATGCATAAGAAACAAAAACCATGGAAAAGTACAGAAAAAAAAGTGGCATTGTCTCTATATTATAAATCTCCGTCGGCTTACAAGTACTTACGTAAAAATGGTATTGTATTACCTGGAGAATGTACCGTACGTCGTTGGCTAAATTCCATAAATTACGCAACTGGATTTTCAGAAAAATATTTAGAACAAATTAAACTTAAAATATCGGATATGTCGTATGATGAGAAAAAATGTGTTATATTACTGGATGAGGTTTCAATTATGAAATCACTTGAATACAATAAAATTATTGATGAAATAGATGGATTTGAAGATTTGGGTTCAATAGGTCGTACTCAAAAGCTTGGTTCTCACGCTTTAGTGATTATGGTGCGAGGACTTATTAAAAATTGGAAATTTCCTTTTTCATATTATTTTACGGGTAGTGGAATTAAAGGCGATGATTTGGTAAAAATTATTAAGGATTCCGTGGAAAAAATGTTACACGTTGGTTTACTGCCATCTTGCATTGTATGTGATCAAGGAACTCAGAACCGTAGAATGTTTTCACTACTCGGAGCAACTGAAGACAATCCATCAATAACAATATGTGAGACTAGATTGTTTTTGATTTATGATATGCCACATCTTATGAAGAGTATAAGAGTATAACGGGAGATTTTAAGATTGATGATAATATAGTATCCATGAAAGATATACGCAAAAATTATGAAATTGACACAAATAATAACACAACAACAGCACGAGCTATGCCCAAAATAACTCCAACGCATTTAAACCCTAACCCGTTCCAAAAAATGAGCTGTAAGCTCGCCATACAACTTTTAAGTAACTTTGTAAGTGCAGCGATTAAGACATGCGTGGCAACCGGACAACTTAAATCTAACTCTGCAGTAAATACTTCCGAGTTTATTGATGTTATCAACAAAATGTTCGATTCAGCTAATAGTAAAAATGTATCTGATCCAAACCCAAACAGAAAGCCTATGAGCAGGGCCGGATTAAGGAAAAATGCGCCTCAAGGCAATGGTTTTACTTGCGCCCTTATACCCTAAAAATTTATTCCACTCTGCCCAATAATCATTGACGTTTATAATCTCATATTATTATTACCATTGTATCTATATATTATGCAATATAAAAATATCACAATAGGTATTATAATATATTAAATATGCATTATCTAGTTACAACACTTATGGAATAAGCAAGTTCCACAGATTTGAAGTTCATAAATTATAACAAAATATAGTAAAAGGAATAATAGTATATCTAAGATAAAATTAAATATAATGGAGCATTTATTTGTGTTAAAGTTTGATAATTTATTTAAAAAATCAACATATAAACAATTTTTTTCTTGCTTTTTTTTCAGCAAAATAATTAATTAAACTTTTAACATTTATATCATTCAACATATTATTTTCAATATTTAGTAAAGCTAAAGCATTTAACCGATTTCTAAGAGTGGTAGATCTTAAATAGTTCTTTATTCTTTTAAGAACTGAAAATGATCTCTCATCCGAACAATTTGTTAATGCAGCTGAAAGATATATTCTAAAAACTATACATAAATTAGGGAATAACTCATCAAAATTATTGTTCTTTATAAACAAAAACATATGTAGTACTGAGTGATTTTCAGTATTCTCAAATTCTATCTCCTTTGATAAAAGGGTAACAAAATGGTTGCATTCATCTGTTAAAATTGAGCCATTTTCAATATCCGAAACAAACCTAAATTAAAAATTAA